GGAAATATTGAATGAAGGCTCAGGTAACGCATGTATCACAGCCTATAAAGTATATGCATATGCTGTTTTCAAGTATAATTGCTTTTCAGGCAAAATACTATCCCGATTATGGTAGCATAACATTTTAGTCTGACAAGGACTCTGAAGAGAAGTGCCTTTTGTTTCAGTTAGCTATAATTGTAAATAACATAGATTGCATTGATTTGAAATGCATTATAAATAAAGTTCTAAATAAACTTTAGTTTCTCAGTAATTTTGTTATGTTTTACATTATTTTACATTACATTACATTATTTTAACTACCTTAGTCATGGTAAAATTATAATAAACTGCTGTGTAGTATGGTCTCTCAAGTGTTTTGAACTGATCTAAGACACTGCTCTGCTACAAGGGTTGTCTTACCGCTTTCTTGTACTCTTGCTAGTGTTCGTGATAATGCTGGTACAGGAAGACAAAGGAAACATGGAAATGTGCAGTCCGTGCAGGGGAAGGCAGTCCCTTTGAGGCAGCAAAGAGGAATTACATCTGTTTAAACAGACTGTGGAACAGCATCCTTAGGCTCTGTCTCTCCTCTGTAGAGCGTGAGCAGTACTGGACAGTAAAAGAGACTTTCGTTCAGTTAAAATACTCTTAGTCTATGGAAAGACACAACTCTGAAAAAATACTCTCTGGAGGAATGTTAAGTGTGGTATGACTTATTGTTGCACAGCTGGTGCCTGAATATTTTCTTTTCAGCCCGTGCTCAACCATCGTGTTTGTGGGATTGCAGTCTACCTTGGGTGTGCTCAGGCATGTGGCATCCCGCGTGCTCTCAGGGCTCCGTTGACAGTCTCCTAGTGTTCACAGCAGAGGAGTCTGGTCTATGGTATGGCTTTAGGGCCACCTCCAGCATATGGTGTAGTTACAGCTAGGTCTGTGGAGACCTTGCTGCCCTCTAGTTCCTCTTGGTTATTTCAGCTATTTGAGCAACTGCATCAGTCCACAAAGAAATGAGTTTAAAAGAAAGCATGCACCACCATCATAGTGCAAAGAGGCTAGGTGGTGTTGTTCACAGCTTGATAAAGACCAGGAGACGTTTCAGCTAAATCAACAAAGAAATACTTCACAAAACCTCTCTACATATTGAAGGTCACTTGAATATCAGTAGCATGAGCTAGATCTTTGAGTGCAGAATCATTGTTAAGACAAGTGTGTGATATATGTATTTGGGTTTTTTCATGCATTTTCACTCAGGCCATAAGCTCATAATATCAACGTCAAAATGTAAGAAGAAAGTTCAGTGCATGTATTTAAAGATTTTATTTTTTGATACACAAGTGTGTGGCAACCCTGCATAGAGAACAATTGCATGGACAACTCCAGTGGCTAAATGGAGCTTGCTTTGCATGTGTAAGTACAATTCTGTTCCTGAAAATGCAAAGAATAATTTGCTCCTACTTAACCCTGGAAGGATAACTGAAGCTTATGTTGGGTACGTTTTAAGAACTGAAACCCGGTGGCAAGCTGTTGCAATTTTGGACAAAGCCAGTGTTATCTGGGTTTTAGTCTTCTTCCAGTAAATTGACCACATAGCTAGACACCAGTTACCCTTTTTGTACTCTTTTCTGTCACTGCTTTTTGGTGGATGCTTTCGCTCTTTTCCGTCTGGGCTGTTGCATTGAATTGATTCACTCACCAAACTTTTAGCTGAGGTGCAGTTTGGAATAGTACCTGATCCATCCGTGACAGCGGGATGTGTTCAGCCAGAATGTGTAGTAAGCGAGGAGCGAGTGGAAAGCATTTGGGCTCAGTACTCAAGTATGGCAACATCCAAGAGCCATTTTTTACCCGACTTTTTATTTGCCAAACATTTCACAGCTTGTTTTCTTTTGAGTGCTTCATGTTGAAAAATTGAGAGCATAAAGGGAGCAAAAGCAGAAAGGTTTCATGATTGCTTTTTTACAAATACAGATCTTTGTATTTTAATTCCAAATAGCCTGTAATTTCAAAAATCCATTATAGTAAAATCCTTTTAATTCTTAGTTGAAATGAAAAGCTTATAGGGCAGAGGTTAAATAAACTATTTTGTTTATCTCATGACCGTTATATTTTAGTTGGTTTGACTCTTTAGAGGGGAAGAGAAAAAAAAACCCTCATATATTTGCACAGCTTTACTGAAAATAAAAAAGCAGCAAGACCAAAAAGGTCCTGTTAGTGCACATTAGTATTGCCAGATCGGCTACTCAACCTTGTCTGTGTAGTTGGGAAAAAGTACTTTCTAAATTAAAAAAATATGACTGAAAGACTACAAAAGTTTTTCTAACCCATCTCCTTGTTTTAAGGCAGAGTTAGAATTTTGCTTCATTCCTGAAAAGTATTGTCAAATCTTCTTACATCTTCCCATGATGCTCCTGGGAGACTGGCAACTTCCCCAGTCCTTAATTAACCTCAAAGAGAGAAAGTATCTTCAAGTTTTTGGCTGAATCTTTTTTGCTGCAATGCAAGCCCATTAGTTCTTATCCACTGTAGACACAGTGAACAAACTGTTCCCTGCTTCTTGGTGATAGCCTCGTAAAAACTGTTACTATGCCCACTCTCAATTTTCTCTGATTTAGCCTGATCAGTTCCAGTTCTTTCAGTCTTTCTTCTTAGGTCATGTTTTCTAGATCTCTGATCTCTTTTCACTCTCAGGGCTTTTTCAAACCGTTCATTTCTTTGTTTGAAATCTGATGCCCAAAAAATGGATGCACTATTCCAGCTAGCGCTTTGCCACTGCCAAGTAGAGTGGAAGGGCTATTTCCTGCGCTTTGCAGGCTGCTCTCCCATACATGTCGCAGAATGGTGATTGCTTTTTTTTGCAGTAGCACAACTGTGACTCCCGCTCAGCTTGTGATCTGCTATATCTCCCAGACTGGTGTTCCCCATCCTGAACAGCTGATTATTTCTGCCTGAGTGTAGTCCCTTCTGCTTTTCTGTACAGTGTTTCAAACTTCTTTTCTAAGCAATGCTCCAATGTCTGAAAATTATTTTAAGTCCTAACAATGCCTTCCTGTTGCACATTTGCAGGCTTAGGTAATGTGGTTTCTGTTCTGTTGTCTGAGTTCTTAATGAAAGCATTGCATTTTGTAATGGACCTCCAGTCAGCAGATCTTTTCAGTTGTTCAAAGACTCATTAATAACTACTCCCTGGTTATAGTCATTCAAACAGTTTTCACTCTCTTTGTAATACTTTAATCTAAACCTTGTTTCTTAAATTTGCGTATGAAATAGTTATGTGAAGTGGTGTCAAAAATCTTTCTGAAATCAAAATATATGACAACCAGTAGTTTTTTGCTGTCATGAATCCTTTCACCTTCCTTACAAGCAAAGTAGACTGACTTGTGATTTGTTCTTGACAAATTTGTGTTGACTGTTACTCATCTGCTTGTCTTTCAGTGTTTTTAAATTCTTTATTTGTGCCATTTTTTTCAGTGCATTGAATTTGAACTGACTGCTCTGTAATAAAAGACATTCATCTACTAGCTGTGTGACATACCAACTTTGAGAACTTCTCAGTGACAACAACTAATAGTTCTGATGTCACTTCATTCCCTTCTTGGCTGTCCTAGGATGAAATTCATAATACATACCTGATTTGAAAACTTGTAATTTATGGAAATGTTCTCTAGTTTCTT